TGAGAGGTTTTTGCTATAGGGCGCGTGCGCTCGCCAGACAGAGAGAGACAGAAAGATAGAAAGCGAGAAATCACCCCCCATGGGGGAAGGCCACGCCGCAATCCCTTCTCCTCCAGTCTCCTCTCGGGATCTTGGGCACGCATGCACATGTGCCTGGCGTGAGTTTAAGCCACCGGGTCTGGGACTCAAACCGCGGTCGACTACATGGGAGTCCAGCGACATAGCCATTACACTAACTGCTGGTCCCTCCTGTTGTTGCTGTTTTTAATCTGGAGGAACTCACATAGGCAGTTTTTCATGAACCATTCAGCTTTTTCTGCAGTTTTCTGTTTTCTAACTTGCTTACGTAGGGAAATTATACTTGTAGTGAAAGTTAGGACAAAATCAGCTGCTTAGCAATTATCTCTGTATGGTTGCTTTTACTATGAATCATCTGATTCCCTCTCTGCAAGGGTATAACCTGCAGAAAGACAGGGGCACATCTTACCTCTGTCTCTGCCTTGAGCACTGATTAGGTACTCAGGAATTATCACCGTAGCAGGGACAGGAGGAAATGAGCGCTTTCTAGGTTCCTGCCACATACTGTAGATCTTTGTCGTTGTTGTTGTTGTTGTTTTCCACTCATCATTTTATTTAATCCTCATAACATGGCATCAGAGAACCCTTAAAACACTTCTGTCATGTGCAGGATATATACCCACTTTCCAGAAAAGGAAATTGAGATTCAGCGAAGATAGGCGATTTGCTAAAGGCTATATAGTAAGTAAGTAGGAAATGCAAAAATTGTCATCTTGTCTTCGATTTCAGATAATATGCAGAAAATAGCCAATGAGGGCTTAGGGTCAGATAGGATGTCAAAAAGTCAGTTTTAACATTAAAATAAAATTTGTTTAAGAAGTTGGGTTTATCTCCAAAGTTTATTCCTTTTATGAGTTCAGAGAGATGGCACCCCAATAGCAGCTTAACACCGAGACCCACACTAGCCAGCCCTGGATTGTGGGCATTCGCTTGCCCTGCGTGCTCAGGGAAGTCTCCGGATGAGAACGCAGACCCTCCCCTCGTTGGTCAGCCTCACCGAGCACTGTGGCTTACTGCTGCGCCCCCTCTGCCCTGCTCTGTCCCTTGGTTTTGTAATGTTGATGAGACTTCCATGAGCAAAGGGACTGTTTGGTGTCACTGTCTCACCCTCGGGTAGATGTGCTGGCAGCCGTAGGTGTCCCGTGACTCAGAAGTCCCCGCTAGTGTCCGATACACCTTTGCACACGTATCAGAGAGCACGGGGGCAGGGGCATGCGGAAGTGTAGAACTTCTGCATCTCTGAGATCGCAGAGTGAGTGGTATGCAGCGTTTGACAGTCTTTTAACTCTCTTGCTTTTCAAAGGGAGATGAGAATAGGCCAAAATACGTGTAAGTGTAATAACAAAGTTTCTGGGAAGAGCCACACTATTCAAAAGGTTTTTGTTTTTGTTTCATACTGAGAGTCGTGCGGCTATCAAACTGATGGTACTTAGTATGCAGCAAGTGCTGAGAGCACTTGGGAAGGCGAGCCCTGGTTCCCTGGGAAATGGGGCCCATCTGTGTTGACATTGGCTGCTGGGGACCCTCCCTCAGCTCGAAAGCAGCCATCCCACCAACGGGGTCTGATCCAGACAAGCATGTGTGTGCCTCATTTCCTCTTCCTCTTCCTCAGAATAACATTGAGTCCAAACACAGGAATCTCTCAGATCTTTATGGCTGAGGAGGGGAGAAGAGCAAGCTAGATTCCTTTTGGAGTTATAGTACCTGCTCAGGCATTTTCTAGAAGTATTTACTTTTTAGTATTTCAACGGCATGGAGTTGCATTGTGTTAGATGAGCAGAGAGCAATTTAATTCTTTGATATTTTAGGACCAGAGTTTCTTTGAATCCATTGCCTTTTTTGTCAACAGATAATAATAAAGCTTTTTTTTTAAACTTTGGTCAAATATACATATCTTCTTTTTTTTTTTTTTTAGAGGGTTTTCACTATAGGGCGCGTGCGCTCGCCAGGCAGACAGAGAAAGACAGAGAGACAGAAAGCGAGAAATCACCCCCCAGAGGGGATGGCCACACCACAATCCCTTCTCCTCTATTCTCTTGGGATCTTGGGTGAAGACCTTAAAGGAGACATGTATAATACCTCGAGGTATAAGATAAGATTTCCTAAACAAACAAAAAGTCCAAGAACTATTATTTCTTTTCTCTCTTTATTTTTATTTATATTTTATTTATTTATTTATTTTTTTGGAGAGATTTTCACTATAGGGCGCGTGCGCTCGCCAGACAGACAGACAGAGACATTAGAGACAGAAAGCGAGAAATCACCCCCCAGGGGGGATGGTCACGCCGCAATCCCTTCTCCTCCATTCTCCTCTCGGGATCTTGGGCACGCACGCACACGCGCCCGGCGTGAGTTTTAAGCCACCGGGTCCGGGACGCGAACCGCGGTCGACTATGTGGGAGTCCAGCGACATAGCCATTATGCTAACTGCTGGTTCCCACCAAGAACTATTATTGAAGTATTAATCGGAGGGAGAATGTTTCAGAGAATCTGAAAGTTTCCTAGTAACTGGCTGTATGCCATTTCTGTCTTGCGTCTGGAGCATAGCTGAGGCAAAGGTCTTTCTCTGAGAAGGAGGTTTCTGGTGTTTCTTTTTAAATATCTAAAGGCGCTCTGGTTAAACTTGAGTCCCTTACCTTTTAGCATGTGTTTTGTGAGAGACAGTCCAGGGAAACCCTGGGGACAAATGTTAGATGCCCTTCGAGCTGCAGGCAGAGATGGGGGCTCCTCCGATTCCGAGGGAAAGGTGCAGACTCCATGAGTGGAAGCCCACAGTGGTGTGTGGAAGCCCACAGTGGTGTGTGGAAGCCCACAGTGGTGTGTGGAAGCCCACAGTGGTGTGTGGAAGCCCACAGTGGTGTGTGGTGTCACTGCTTAAAGGTAGACTTGCTCTGACCGGAGATAACAGTGTCATTTATCCTTGGGTGAGGACACAGGCCAGCTCTCACAGCGTTTTAACAAAGGTAGAGATGGCTGTATTGTTTACTGACCTGTGACTTGAAGAACACTAGACTGGAGTCTCCGAGCTGGAGCGGGCCACAGAGGTGGTGCTGGTGTGACGCCTTCACTTCCAGGCGAGGACTCTCGGACTCAGCATTATAGGAAGGTCAGCAGAACCAGGGTCAGGCTGAACTTGGGTGTAATGAGCACATGGTAGTGTCCGAGCCTTCTTCCACTCGACACTCCTGTTTCCTGCCTGTCCTGTGCTTTCTCACGGTCCCTGTAAGAACCCTGCTTTTCCCATTTTATACCTTACAAAGTTCCTGTTAACTGTGCAATATCAGTGAATTATTATCTGTTGAAAAGGATCTGAAATAAGTTTTTCTTCTGAAAGCAACAGTACCAAGAAATAGTTTGGGTACCGCTTTCAGTCTCTTCCCTGTTTGACCTTAATAAGCCATAGCGTCTGAACCGATGTGACAGGATCTCATGAATAAATGGTATTTGGGAACAGAGGCCTGATCTTTTTTTTTGGAGGGGGAGGTGCTTTTCTAGGAGAATTATTTTTGAGAAGTATTTTAAAGTGGAAATAGTTCAATTTTTTTATGACTTAAAAAAATGATAAATACTATGTTGTAAACCCAAACTACACAGATATGTCTTTAAAAATGAAGCAACCGTTTATTAACATTTTTGGTGAATGACCTTCTGTCTTTGGGTATACGTAAGTATTAACACATGAATTTCATATAAAGCTGTTATAGTACACCTGTTTTCTTTCATTCCACTGTATTGAGTAGAGATCTTCAAGTACGTAACTATAGCAGCCACTGTCCTTCTAAGTGACTGCCTATGGATTTATCAGTATATCTAAGCATTCTTCTTTAGAGGAACATTTGTGTTGTTCTTAGATTTTGCTAAGCAAATTTGTTTTAATATTTCCTTATTTAATTTTATTTGTTATTATTATGTATTATTATTTTTTTATTTGACCAAAGAAACAGAGAGAGAGAAGGGGAAAGTGAGAAAGCAAGCCACCAGGTCTGGTACTCGAACTGTGGTCAGCCACGTGGGAGTCCAGCACCTTAACCACCACTCCAACCTGCTGTTCCCCGCTAAGCGAACTTTTAACAAACATCTTTATGCATTGTTTTTTCCTCACATGATCAATTGATCTTGGTATATATTTCTAGAAGAATTATTGGATCTCTCAAAAGGTCTTGCCAAATGCATGGCCACTAATAGGTTTGCAAATATCTGTTTAGAAATCTCACCAGTTAAGAGATTTCTTCCCTTTATTTGTAGTCCTCAGGAAGGGAGTCTGATCTGTACGATTTAACAGACATATGTTTGATTTAACTATTCATAGTGCTTTCTCAGAACGTGGATTATTCGACTGTTTCTCCATGCCAAAAAAGAAGTTCTAACACCCTGCATTTCATGAGTAAAAGACTCAGACAGCTCTTTTCCAAGGGGCAGACTTTAATCTCATGTAGGATCCTGCCCAAGTCTTACTGGTGCTGAGCATGCTGTATCCAGCTGTTTTAAGAACTGCCTCTTTTGGAATGCAGTCCAGCATGAGAGCACAGAATGATGACTATCTGGGAAACCAGCCTTCTGATAGGAGTGTAAGGAATTGGAGTTATTTAGTCTAGGGAATAAGGACTGGGGGTGGGAAGTAGGTAACTATCCTCAAGTGTATGTAGGAAGATCTTGCAGATGATCTTGAGGAATTCTCTTTCTTCATCTGGGGAGGGGAAGGGGTGGGTTGAATGTGCAGTGGGTGATTAGTCACTCACAAGGACCTGTTAGATTTGGAGTTGAGTTACATGGAAAGTGGTAGAGTATTTATATATGTTTATGTATAAAACAAACCCACGGTTTCACTGGAACATTGTTCTATTCAGAACCTTAACTTGGTAGGTCTTGAGTCTGGGACTTTTTCCCAGTTTGTTTACAGAGTATAAAATCTGAAGAAAAACCAGAGTGTGTTTATAGATAGTGTGAAATAGTTGCACATCATTAATAGAAATGGGCGAAGAGAGGACGCGAGGATTAAAAAAGGTCTTTTGCAGACAGATCTAGTGTTTGAAAACTCTGGCTCTGTTATTTACTGGTGTCTTATTTTGAGCAGGTTGTTTTAGATTCTGAGCCCCACTGTCTGTGTCTATAAAATAGAAGGCATCCCTCCTAAAACTGAGGGACTTCTGCGTAGACTGACTGATGTAGCCTATAACTAGTGTGGAGGTTTAGAGCAGCGCCTGCCAGGTTGCAGGTGTTTGGTGAGCACTGGCTTTCTTTCCCGTCAACCCTTTCTGGTGGTGACCAGTGAGCAAGATAACCAGCAAATTCTATCTGTGTTCATGGGAAGAAGAGGTTGGTATAGAGTGGAATCATTAGGAAAATTTAAGAAAACAAGTGGGGCTTCAGCTGAGTCTTGAAGTGGAATTTAGATAGTTCCGAGGGGCGGAGTGAGCCCAGCTCTTCTCAAAACCAGAGAGTGCCTCAGTGTCAGAGCTTGTCAAGAAAGTGTGATATGACTGGCTTTCATCAGGAGCAGGTTCTTCTCCAGAGGACAACGTGCAGTTTCTTTTAGAGAGTGACACATCAGTGACTTTCTCTCTTGCCCCCCTCCCTCCCTCCCTTCCTTTAAGTCTTCCTGGCACATAGGAGGAATGTAGTAGAATATGGGCAGGCCTGCTCATTCATCCAGCTGCAGTGGATCTCCGGCTTCTTTTTCTTCTTCCTCTTTTATTTATTTATTTATTTATTTATTTATTTATTTATTTATTTGAGAGGTT